ACCCGTGGACGTGGAGTTGGTCTGCTTCCTGTTGGACAGGCAGGTGACAAACACTGGCGGTTAGCTTGTGCTAGCGTGCGTTAGCCATGTTTAAGAAGATGCAAACGCACAAACTTACATATCTGAGCAAACAAACAAAACAAAGTTATTTAAAGTCTTCCGTTTTTTTTCGGCTGCAGATATACGTTTTTCTGTGACGTAGTTCTCAGTGAATCTGGAGACTTTCTTCCTCCTTTGTCTCGCTTTGTGAATATCTTTCCTCTGATTATTTCATTTTCCTCTATCTCACCTGTGCTCTCTCAGTAACACACGTTTTATATCTGCACGTTCCTCTGAGCCCGATTCAAATCTGTGCAGGCTTTGTTTAAGTTTACACTGTGTGTGTGTTAGTGTGTGTGCAGAGCGAGAGATTCTATCAGTTGTTAACGGCCTCCAACTCCACAGATTGTAAAGTGTGTGTGTGTGTGTGTGTGTGTGTGTGTGTGTGTGTGTGTGTGTGTGTGTGTGTGATGGCTATCAGCGGTCAGGACCTCAAACCTCCAGATTTCCCCGTCGGCCACCGTGCAGCGTTCCTCTGAGTTTTATCTCCCGTCTTCATCTCTCTCTTCATATTGCTCTCCGTGTTTCTCTTTATCTCATCGGAGACGTTCCTGCATGGATTTTATTTTATTTTATTTTTTAAAATATTCTTCCTCTCTCAGTTTGGCCTCTGTGGACGGACGAGCTGATCATGTAAACAGATACTCTGATATCTGAGCAGAGAAGAAAAATTAAGCGGGGAGTTTATTCCGAAATATAAATTGAACAAAAATTGACTTTTGTTCTCACACAATGAGGCAGGAAGGAGAGAAAATGTGCTTCAGTCTCCGAGGAATGAAACTGCACAATAACATCAAAATAGAGTGAGTCGGTGGGCTTTGCTTCCTGCGGCTGAAACAGTTGGAGTTTGTGTGATTGTGTGAAGTTTTCTCTGGTCTCTGAAGGCTCACACACGCTGGATTGTTCAATCATGCGTGTGAATAACGGGAGCCGTGAAGATTATTAACAAGGAAATGTTAGAGGTGGTAAAGCCTTCTTCTTGATTTGATTGGCTTCTTCGGCCAAAAGTGACAGATGAGCGCTGCAACTCCGCGTTTTTAGTGAAAAAGTTTTAACATTTAATGCACGCCCAAAAAAAGGGTAACGTACCTGTGTCGCGCAGCAGCAGAGAAGAGCGTAAGTACACACCGGGCCGATCGTCAGGGACCGGCCT